AAAGTAAAAACTTTAAGCATCGGATGTACAGATGTTTGCAATGTGTCTGGTAATGTAAATGCCAGTAACCCCAGGGAGCATCAAACCTTTCTCTATTACAGGCAACTGTTAAATTGGAAGATGGGAAATTAGTAGCTGAATTTCCCAACTATCGTCACACTGCAGAGATTTCTGGAGGAAAGCTAGTAGAGGTGAGTTCTCAAATTTCCAGATTAGTTTTTATAAAACAAACACACAAACCCTTTCAAGACCAGCAGGCTTAACATTTTGAGTTCAGAAAAAATCTTTAGACAAAGTAAAGCAAAACTCTTTCATAATTTTCTCCTTCATTCTAGACAATCTTCTACAATTTTGTGCAGGTTTAATCCAAAAATTAAATGAACAAGCTTTTCATCATTTTTGATAAACTTGAAATACAGATCGTGCATCTTAGGCATGTACACACAGTTTTATAGCTGTAAGACTGGAATGCTTAGACAAAAATATTCCCAAGCTCTGATGTATTTGACTGTTTTCACTCTGCCTATACCTCAAGAATAGTAAAAAATATACCAAAACCCAACAAACTTTTGACCTACAACTTCTATGTTTCTATAAAGTTTTTAACTTTTTTTCATTCTTAAAAGACGATCTAGCTGCAACTCCTCAGAGAATTTCTGTAGTACCTATTTCCTTAGTCTTATCAAAGGGAAAAAACCTAAACACAGGAGGCTGGATTTCAAGTAGTATTCCATTTTGTCAACAAATTGGCAACACAGCTTTCTTAGTCAATGAAACTACCACCCTTCTAGGAATGCTTGTAAAACAGTCAGTGTTCTGATGTTTGACAGTCCTGAGTCTCACCGATTTCCCTGAACTGACCGATGCCAGCTACATGTGTCTGAGCGTGTCTTCAACAGAGACTAAACAAGGGTTAAGTTACTCCGTGAATGAAGGAAGGACACTCGCCCTCCCTGAAAGCAATAGTGTCAATGATCAGTTGCTTCTGGAGAACAATTATCTTGCTTGTCTAAAACCCTGATGACTTGGGAGCTGGTGAAGCCACTAGTAACACAGGACAGCTTAAGTTATTCCTAAATCCCCGTTTAGAAGTTGTGCAGGAATATTTTTGCACTGTGCATTTCATCAGACT